CCCCAAAACCCCAAAACCCCAAAACCCCAAAACCCCAAAACCCCGTGCCATAAAGAATATCTTGAAATTGACACTACATAAATTTTTGGTCAGCACAAATAAGATAAAAAGTAGACTCTAAAATTTCTAAAAGTGTGCATCTAATTGTCCAAATCCTAAACAAAAGCTCCAGATCTTCAATGAATTCTGTAAATTGAATCTTCCTAAGATGAGAAAGGGAAGCCTAGAGTGCTTAGACTGGCAAGGTCTTGGAGACCTGCTGACAGTCTAGGAGAGAATATTATAGAACAAGATTCTAAGAGATTTTAGGAAATTAGCAATGAGTGGCAGGCGTTGATGAATCCCTGAAGAGTGTAGTCCTGATAGATGAGTCAGCAGATTGTTCAGGATTTTAGGCTAAGTTTCCGTTCTTTTAATGCGGACTCAGACGAGGATACCTTCTCCTGATAGCCTATATTCTGCTTACATTATCCTCTTCTTCCAAGGAGTTTCACCATTTTCTGAAAGATCTGTAAAGAAATTAGTTTATTTGAGGTTTTTGTATAGTAAAACTATTTTTAAGAAATATAATGAAGCATATTTTTCAAAGATGGGCTAATAAAAAGGAATACTTACCTTTCTCTACTTTTCTTGCTTTACTCTCTACAATAGCTCCAGAGTCACAATGGTCTTGAGGACTAACATCTTGGTAAGGAGTTCGATCTTCCTACAAAATAAAACTTTATATTACGCTTTCCTTTTTCATGAAACGAATTTGAGATTCTTGATATGAACTGGACGACATTATTATACTGTTGTTATGTTCTGTACAAGTGTTAGGGATAATAACTGAATATAAATAAATGCTTATTGTAAAGAAGTATTCAGGAAACCAACGAAACCTGAAATAAATAACTTTCTTGATAAAATGTTAATTTTTAAGAATTAGAGACCCACACCAATAAATGGTCCTTTTTTTACTTAAAGTAATACTATGCTTCATATTTATTTAAGCAGAAATTTTTCTACTCTCTATGAGAAAGAGAATACTATATGAGTTAAGAATGTATGATTATTACTGAATAAAACGTCTCATCAGTATTTCTTCACTTAATTAAACTCAAAATTAATTAGGACAAGAACTAAGTCAAGTCCATGCTTCAGAGGTAATATGACTTTTATCAATTACAAAGCTCTTGAATGTAGAAAAATAATTAAAAAAATTGTTACTAGCTCCTCAGATCTGATACTCTATCTCAGAAGTTACTAAATTTGTATTTTCATCTACTATTCAATAGCATTTAAAACCTGCAGATTTTCAATGGGCAATAAACATCAGCATTAGAGAGGTTTTGTACCTTGTTCATCAACTCTAAAGAATTAAGCAAGTTCTTACTCAAAATCCCTAGGACGGACACTTTTATTCTTCCATATTTTTGCGTGCTCTTGTCTCTTGAACTTCCCTCTCTTAATTATTGACTTAGACTTTCTGGATACTCCTATTAAAATATATTATGTTTTTGGTCTACTGGAAAGCTACTAATCCAAATATTATCATTAAGATCTAGCGCGATAGAGTATTCTTCCAAAAGATTTATTGACGACATAGTATCTCAAAGTTGGATAACTCAAGTGAGCTGGAGCTGCTTACTCTTCTTTACATTACCAGATTCACTCTTATTCTCTTCTATTTCTTTTTGGGGAGACTATGACATTTAAGTATTTGATACCTTTATTTTGCTTTGGTCTTTCTTCTCTATTTTTTCTAGTCTTGGTCTATGAAGGTTACTTGAAATTTACCTCTTTTTGCACATAATTTTGGACAGAAAAATTACGGTCTATATGGATTAAGCTGTTGGAACTCACGATTTGAGCAAATTTATTCTTTTCTTGATACAGCTGCAACAATAGTATCAGCCATTCTATTAGGAATTTACAGTTGACAATGGCAATAGATAGAAAAACAAAGCCATTCAGAACATCATGCTGTTCATGTCTAGAATACACTAGAGCTCCCATAGTCAAAGTGGCACCTCCCATTATAGATAAAAACTCTATTTTATTATTTTCAAAGTTTTTATAAGGCTTGATCTTGATCTGAATACGAGCTGTCAGCAGAAGTACTGCTAGTGATAAATTGATCGCAACCTTCAGCTCAAAAAGAAGAAACAATAAGATAGCAACTTTCCTCATAGTATTAACAAACTCCCAATATATTACTTCAGGTTTGAGTCCTTGGTAGATTATTAAGAAGTATTCCATCATTCTACTATCTTTCTTCTTCCTTTGCTTGAGAATGACAAGATAGGTTATTAATGGTCAGGTAATTACCCAGACTAAAATGATTGGTATTCCCACTATTATTCACCATTTCAAATGTGTTGGGGAGAATCATTCTAGATTAGTATCTATCCTTGCGACCTTATAGCCTTCATCAATTTCAATACATTTGAAAAGACTGATACTTTTCTCTGTGAGGTTTGGGTGTAAAACAAATACAACTGTGATGAAAGAAATCACAAGAGCTCTCTTAATATTTGTGCACCAAGCTGGTTTGACCCATTTAATGATTACCCACATCACTGCAATGATAAAGAATAAGATTATTGGCAAGAATGTCATCAGGAACAACTTGAAAATTGCGTTTGAGTTAAACATAAAGTTGACTTCAGTGTCTTTAATGAAACAATCAAACGATAGTAATGCATCTGTAGACCCTCCAAACAATCTAATAGGAATTGTTAAGGCAATTAATCCAGCTGGATAATCATTGGTCATCGATACAGACACTGTTATAATCTGGAGATAATTAGTAAGAATTCTTAAAAGAACTGATAATTCACTTTCATCAGTTTTTCTTACATTGATAATAACCAAAATTATGTGAAATAGTAAGACAAGTAGTAAAGTAAACACGACTTGTATTGCATTCCAAACTTGTTCTGGACATTTCTGTCACTCATAATCATTAATTCTTTCGTATTTCACATCTTGGGTTACAACTCATTGAGAACAGAGATTGCCTGAATATCCTTCTGCTCAATTTACTGGGTGAATTTTCTTGGAGCTAAAATAATTTTGAAAATTTAAAAATTATATTAGTACAGAACTACAAAGCAGAAGATGCTAAATCATCATTCTAATATTGAATTTTTCGAACTTACTTATATGTTTGATTGTCATCTTCAACATCTAAAAATCCTCCTTCACAAGCTTCTTCGACTATTCATTCAACAATCTTGGTCGAATTTTGGAACCTTCTCCAATAACCAGACTTCACGTATACTTGATTGCCTCCAAGACAATCTGCTTCTAGGTTTCAATCAACTCATTTGGTTGCATTCCATTCAAGTGAGTATGTACCGGTAGCTCATATTTTTCACTCATCCCCAACGATCCTTTCTCCTGGCTGTCAGTCTCTAAAATTAATTTGAAGATCTTTCTGAGAAAATAAAGATCCTAAGACCTCTTGAACTTTATCAGTGTTGATTGATTTTGAACTCAAAGCAAAATTTGAGCTTCGTTTGTTATCCCTTATGACAGCAGCAAAGTTATCAAACTGAGCGATCCCCTGATCGACCGAGAGTATATTGAATCCTTTTGTGTTAGCTTCAGATGCATTCCTTGAGAGAATAACAATCTGGCTTGAATTATCCAGATTCATTATTTGGTTATCGATATCGTAAATAGCAAGTGTCAAAGTTTGATCAATCGTTATACCTGATCCAATGTTGTCCAGAATAATATCGTTTCCTTGAGAACTATCCGCAAGTCCTATCTTTGCAGGATAACTGGCAAAATTTGGTCCATAATTTGCACTGTTATTACTAAATTCAGTGGTTTTAATTTTTGGATAATTATAGTTGTAGTATATTGCTCCTCCACTCACTCTAGCACTATTTTCTAAGAATTTCGAGTTCTCAATATTCAATTCGCAATTAGCCATACTGGTACACTCGAAAGCGATTGCTCCTCCAGAGTATGCAGAGTTGTTTCTGAATATAGTATCTTCAATGCTTATTTTACTATTATAGATCTTAATGGCTCCACCCTTGCTTGCTCCAGTTTCTTCATTATTAGAAAATGATCAATTCTTCATCTTGAGAATGTAAGAATCCATGAACTCAAGAGTCTGCTTTCCACCACTGACTTCGAGGCCCTGTATCAAAGTAACATTTGAGAATGAAAACTGGACTAGCCGATACTGATATTCAGAGAGTTTGATGTTCTTCAACTCCACATTTAGAGTCTCCTGGAAGATGAGTAAAGGAAATGATGTAGAGTAAGAATTTTCTAATAACAAAGTGTCAAGTGCAAAATTTTGGCATTTAAGACATCTGATAAGGCCGTTGTCGTTTATTACATCTTTAAATTGGGTATTATTCATCATTCAGCTTGAGAAAGATAGTTGAGAAACTCTGAAATCTGTGCTTGACACTTTCAAGCCTGAAGATATCAAAGTTCCAGATGTTACTTGGATAAATGCGTGCTCATCCTGAGAAGATAACTTGGTTCAATCAGCTATTGTTAGATTATTCAGAGTAGCTACAGTTGAGACTAGATTAATTGGGGAGTTTGTAGAGTTTATTCCAAACAGAAAAGAATTCTCTATTATCAAAACAGAAGAAAAACTGTATACAACTGAAGTGCTATTGTAGATTTGTGTGTTGTTGATAATATGAACTTCTGCTAGAAGCACTTGAATTAGAGTGTCTGTCTGAGTAATAGTGGCAAATTCTAAGTTGGCAAGATAACTTTTTATCAAACTATTCAAAAATCACAGTTTTATACAACTAGGAGAAAGCTCTACAGCTAAATCACTTTCAAAAATTTCACTATTTGAATAAATTTGAGTATTGCTGATGATCGAAGGAGTAAAAGCAGATAAAAATACTCCAACTGGGTATTGAATAGCATAGTTTTCATAAATTGCACTTTGAAGTATCTTCAACACTGCACCTGATTCGATCTCAAATACTCCATTTGTGACTCCGAAGTTGTTAAAAATTGTACAATTTGTTCAAATGATACTCGCTTCAGTTTCTGCTTTGAAGATTGTAGATAAAACAGCAGAGTTATTATGGAAAACTGAATCTTCGATTGTAATCACAGACCTACCAGATGCTCTGAATATTCCTGCAATAAGGCCCATTGATGTAAACTTTGTGAACGAACTATTCTGAATCTCATAAACCAAATTCTGGCTTGTTGAGATGAATGGAGTATTGTTGAGAGTTACATTTGAGAATGTAGAGTTCATAAATCTGAACTTTGTGTCAAGATAATTCGATATTTTCTTACCTTCAGCTTCAATAGACCCAGAACTGGCACCAGAAATGAAGCAATCAATAAAATGGACAACAGTAGGAAGTTGATGTTTCAACTCTATTAGAACACCAGAAGTTTCAAATTTCACATTCTCAAATGTCAGTTGGTTAAACTGAATGTACAAGTTGAGGTCTCCAATAAATCTATCTGTGGAAACTAATGCTCTTGGAGATGGAAAAGTGCATTCAGAGTATTTTATATTATTGAACGAAATATTTCTATCAGAATTCGAGATCGAAGAAATAGCTCCAATCCCGAACAAAGAAATAGAAGAATTCATGATTGTGATATCTGAAAACTCAGCTGTATGCAATTCCTCATAATTTAGAGAGCCAATTCTGATAATTTTCTCAGTGGTTCCTACAGAGCTCATGGGACTAACGTTCTCAACAGTCAAATTAGAAACTGAGATTGAGCTTATGTAGAAAAAGTCTAATAAAGATTGTGCTTCTGAAATTTTGCAATCTTTAAACATAAAATTTTCAATTGTCATCATAACTGGTTCAGCATTTATATAAAACAGAGGCACAGGGGCCAATTCAAAATTTTGGAAGCTAAAATCTTTCAGAATTATTGAACTTGTATTAGGAAATGCAAAAGAAAATAGAGGAGCATTATATGCTCCAGCATTACTAAAATTTCTTAAAGTCACGTCTTCCATTATAATGTTTCCATTTGCTGCGATTTTAGCGAGCTCAGCTTTATGATTCAAACTATCTTCAAAAGTAAGATTTTTTATTTTTAAATCTTTAATGGTAAGAATTTCCATCAAGAATAAGTCACATGTACAATTGTGAAAGGTGAAATTAGATATTTCACCTTTTTCTAAGCCAACACTGTACAGATAAAACAATCCCCAAGTCCAGTGCTGGGTAATATTTATAAACTTGAAATTTGTCAGTTTGATTTCAACAGGTCTATATGGAACTGCAAATGAAATAACTGGGACAATTACCACATTCCCAATTCCGGCATTTTGTACTCTGCCATCTGCATATATGGAATCAACCTCAAGATTTTGGAGTAAACCATCATCAGGAATTCATAACGAATTAGAGCCAAATGCTATTCAAACTTCAATCTGATCGTTAACAGGAAGTCCTCCTCAATCTACATCAACGATAGTATGATTGCCAGGGAGATAAGAATTCAATAAGCTGAAATTATAAGTTGGCTTCTTCAGAGAAATCTTCGGGTACACAGATTTTACATAAATGCTATTCTGTGTGAAGGCTTCTGGATAATTTCAGAACACAAACACAGGATAGAAGAAACGGAATCCCCTTGATACATCCACAGTGATATTCTCAAGATGTGCGTTCATTGGGTCTTTGCTTTCCAGTGAAATGCCAGTCACATTAAAGTCCAGATTATCTAAATTAGGAATATGAGCAATGGAATCGTTAAGTATCCATCAAGATTATCACTGGGATAGCAAAGACCATATTGAAAAGGCAAAAACTCCAGAGCTTCTGATGGTTCATTTACTTATAATAATCTTCTAAATCTATAAGGCGACTTTACTGTGAAAATGGGTGCCTATTTTAGATAAACTAACTGGGGTTCTAATGGCTTTTAAAGGATGTTTTATGAGGGTAAAGTTTTTTTTTTGGATTTTAAACTAACTATAAATTATCTAAACTTTTAATATAAACGACATTTGTGATTCAAACATTTAACCATTACTAAATGGAAACTTTGAGAAAATCGAGCAAACGATTTTGAAGATACTACTAAACCTTACATAATTTCACTTGCTTTTCTTGAAGATAAATTGGGACTCAGAAGAATCCAAGATCACTAGCATGGAAGTCTATCTCCGAAATCTCAATACTAGTCCTTGCAAGCATGATTCCTACTTTTGTTTTTGATAGTTCAGAAATCTCCCTTTCACTTAATTCATCTTTATTAATAAATTCTTCGTGACTTATAGAGGTATCTTTCAAAAGATGGAACCTTGCCTTCTTGGATATTTCATGTTGAGCCTTACTAGTGAATGAAATTTGTGCCCTTTTGTTCAAAAGCTGGTAATCAGGGTGAGTTGTAATTTTCACGCTAGTCATATTAATAAAATAAAGCATATCCATTTCGATATATCCATCCTTTATAAAAAAATTTCTACTTCAGCTTTTGTGTTACTATAGTGGTTTAATATCTCTGATGCAACGGATTTGAATGTTCGATAAGGATACTTAAAAGTTCCTAATTCAATAATGCTATCAACTTCAGGGTCAACATAGAATTTCAATGTTCTTCATATCCTGCCAATATTCATTTTATTAGATACGATTTCAAATTTATCTGATGGACATAATTCAACGCATTCAAAAATGTCAATATCAAAAATTTTGTTTGGAGGGCATTCGAAACAAGAAGCTTGATATGCTCATGCTTGAATTCAAACATTATTTCAAGATGAACAATCACCCTTTATCGGATCGTAATACTCACCTTCAGCACATGATTCTCATAGCTTTGTTGTACTATTATATCTCATAAAACCCTCTCAAGTTTCTCAAGTCATAACATCTAAGCAGGTTTTACAAGAACTATCTCAAGGAACTCAATTTTCACTTTCACCAAAGTATCCATTTCCTCATTGGCTGGGATAAAAAGCAAGTGCTTGGCAACAAAACAATAGAAAAACAATTAGAATGACCATTTGGCTTCTCAACTGTGTTCATGCCCTGCTGCCTTTCATCGGGCCTTGCTTCTCAGATTCCTTATCAAATCCTTGAGATTTTCTAGAAAAAACAAATTGTTTTGAGTATAGAAGCATAGAAACTCCAAATCTATCTCACTTATGAGCGTTTTGAGGTTCACTAATTTTATCATGCCCCTTGTATCTTCTTCTTAGATTCTTCATGGTTGGTTTATTTAATAATATATTAATTAGAGCAATTATTTAGAAGTTAAAAGGGGTTTTGGGGTTTTGGGGTTTTGGGGTTTTGGGG